GGGCAAAATGGGCATACCTGAATAAAAAATGCTACTAGATGAAGAATCACTAGAAGACGAAAAAGTCGACTCTCTAAGATAGTGATTGGGTCATCTGCCTCACCAGATGATGAGGTCGATCCCGGAACATCTCCATGCCGGCAGCTAGCCAACGTAGACTCGACCAAAGAGTCACATCCTTGTTCAATGAGTTTGGAACTCAGAAAGAGACAAGAGTAACACGGAACTGATTTCTGGGTATGGAAAGACTGGGGGATATCCTGGTTGACTAATGGAAGACCAGGGTTTGCTACAAGTGAACTACTAGAGGGTTTAGAACCGGTTTGAGGAAGATGTTAGGGAATACGTCTGCTCACAAAAAGACGACTCCTACCCCGGTTTTGCCCTAATTCTCTGTTGGACAACCCGGATCTCCTCTGGGATCTACTACCACGATAGCCGCGAAGCATGGCTTCCCGTTCCTCTTCCTCAGTTCTAGAAATCCCCCACAGCCAAAAACGGGCACCAGGGGGAATCTTTTTCAAAAATTCATAATCTTCCTCCTTCTTCTCCTCACAATGCAGAACTGAAGAAGAAGGTTCCCCCCCCCCCCCATTTCGGTTAAAAATTTCAAATGACACAAAGTTTTAAAGGAGCAAGAGAAAAATCAACAAATAGAGGGTGACACACACTAAAATGCAAAGAAGTGAAGCAATGTGCAACACTTTAGAAGTACAAGAAGTTGATGCAAAAAGAAGAAAATCAATCAACAAGAAAATCGACAGAATGACATGCGAAGAAGAGGAAGTTCAAAAAATAAAAACATGCTCAAAATCAGATGGCCAAATGCGAAGAAGCCAAGGAAGAAGCGAGGAAAATGCCAAGGCAAGTGAAGTACCTGATTAAAGGGACGAACTTGTAAAATTTTGAGAGAACAACACTTAAAGATGCTAGAGCGCAGGAAGAAGAGAAATTTCTGCAAAATGCTCAAATGTGAATGAGGGAAAGAACTTCTCCAAAATAAGAAAAGTAAAGAACGAAAAGAGGGAAAGGTTCATACTTATATAGGCATAAGCGTAACTGCTGCGGTTTCGAATGGCAAGGGTCAGGGGCACTAAAGTCATTTCACTTGTAAGTGGTAACCGCAGCAGTCGTGGATGGCAAGGGTTAGGGCCACCAATGTCATTGCACTTAAAAAGCAATGATTAGACGCCTGAAATGAGAAGCCTAATAAATGTGCACAAAATGTGAAAATGACATAAAACGGCTGCAGCACGCTAACACACGCGGCTAGCAGCATGTGTCAGAATGAAATGAGTACTGTTGATAAGTCGGCACGTGAGACTGAAGACACGTGTATATGACAACTCTTAGCTGAGTTATACGAATGATGCTTGGGGGAAACTCGCCAGTTGGGTCACAATTACTCAAACACATTCGTTACCCGATTACACATGAAGAGTATCTTGTCGGGTTCATGCATAATGATGTGCCTCTGGCAAGTATGATTTTTTGTGTTAAAATTGATAAGAATTGAGTCACAAAAGAGCAATCTAATTACATATTTGCTAATTATATTGATTCTTTCTTGTCAATAATATTTCTCACGTATTGATTGTATTTTTACAGGAAAGAGAACTGAAAAGTATAAAAAGTTAAATGATGCAACTCATCAAATTAGTATCAGTACAATCCCCAGAGAGTTGGCGCAAGTTGACGCCAAAGTGAAGAAATCCCACGCCAAGTTACGCCGTGCTGCACAGGCCAAATACCAGAGAATTGGCGCTAGTTGGCGCCAGATTGGCGCAAACTAGCGCCACACAGATTAAGCACCAGCATCATGGCGCCACTAGGCGCCCAAATTTAGAAGGATTATGGCGCCACTAGGTGCCCAACAAGAAGGAATATGGCGCCACTAGGCGCCCAAAAGTGCAAGGAGTTGGCGCCAAGTGGCGCCCAAGATACAAAGGGTGGCGCCAACTGGCGCCGGTCCACGCAATCAGGTCCGACTTTTCGTATTCGAGACAGTAACTCTGCGCGTATTTGCGCCAAACCCGCGCCAACTGGCGCCGGGTTGCGAGAAAATTACACCGTCTTTCCGCGGGGGTATTTTTGGAAGAGGAAAAAAGGTCTATAAATAGGATCCCTATGACAGAATTAGGGATTCAGACCTAGTCTTTTGAAGGAGGCCGACGGCAGAGCTCAGAAGGATTCTTCCACAGTTCTTCTTCTTCATCTATTTCTCTGTAATTTTATGCTTTTGAATATTGAATTATTTTTAGCCATGATTATGCTTGGCTAGTTTTCTTTTATTGTAGTTAGGGTCACGAGCCCTATGTGAACCCTTGTTACGATGGATTGATTTAGTTTTATTTATTTATATAATTATCTTTATCTCTACCTTGTGCGTATTGTCTATTTTCTTTATTAGAACTGATCAATCTGATAGTTGGGAATAGTTTGAGGGTTAGAACCCTAGATAGGAATATTGGGGTTTTGATCTTGAAAGGGGGTAGGACAACAATTTGTATGCATGCTAGGAATAGATGTGTATTTAATTGCGGATGCTTAAATTATTGCGTTCATTGCTTAAAACAATGAGGAACATTGCAAGGAATTGGGGTTCCAATTGGGGATTAAAGGGTTAACCTTGCAAGGAATTGAGGGTTAACTAATAAATATTTTTAGATAATAATTTATCAGAGTAATTATATGAATAAATGTTGTGAATCAATCCAAAGTAAGAAGTGGGGATCATAAGGTGAGTGCACTCTAGCTACAATATTTTTCTCATATTTTTAAAATCAAATCTCATTGTTATTGTTTTATTTCTCTTAAATAAAAATATAAAAACAAGTCTTTATTTTTATTTCATATTGCTACTCGAATTCAATTCACAATTTTCCAAACAACAAACTGAGTTTTCCAACTTAAGGGGACTGGTTATTGTAGTACTTGGTTTACAATCCCTGTGGAGACAATACTCTACTTACTCATTATATTACTTGTGCGATCGGTATACTTGCCGGAGAGCATCACATAACCCGTCCCAGTAAGTGACCAGGGAAAATCATTCCCGGTTACAAAAGAAAGCTACAAAATCAGGACATGTGTGTAAGGAATGATGCTTGGGGGCAACTCGCCAGTTGGATCCCAACTACTCAAGCTCATCGTTAACTCGGTGCGGGAATACGTGAAATGTTTTCCCAAGTTTATGCTCAACCCGCCGAGATAAAGGGGCAATGAGGACCCCAGTTGAAAATTCTGAGATATAAGGAACATGTATGCAAAGAGGTTGCAAAAACTCAAACACTTTTAGCTCAGCAGAAAACCTGAAGCAAAAAACCTGAAGCAAAATACAAGGAAATTCACCCCGACAACCTGGAAGCCCAGGTAGCCTGGCTGAGGGGCAACTGTTATGGACCTGTATAAAGGGCCCACTGAATGACAGGCCCAATAAGGGCAATCTAAGATTCAAATCAAGTATAATTGCAGATAGTATCCATCAAGGATACTAATCCTAATACGACAGCGTAGCAGACAGGCCTGAGCCCTCATCAGAGGTACTAAAAGGTCTACATCATACTACCCACATGTAACCTCTATAAATAAAAGGTAAACCCTAAAGGTACGTTACACTCTCTCTTACTGTTATGTTGTCACAGTGCACGCACCACATTGGCAAAAGCCGTTATTAGTTTGTTGTGCACAGTGATCTGCTTGACTCAAGAGTATCTCTCTCATAGATACCTTGGAGAGGGCACTAGATTCAAGATTAACATACCAGTCCATTGGGCTGGATATCTTTGTCTTCAAGACAGAACAATAGAGAAAAAAATTTGATTGCCCGCTAAATTATAGGGCTTAAGGGTTAAAGCTTAAAAACGTCCTACCACAAAGGGCTTTGTGGGTTGGCTTATACATTTTGACCCCTCTCCTTTGGCCTAAAGATCTGCCGCCCTTTACGAAGTTTCTTCCATAGACTCTTGCATGGTCTAAAATTCACGACACTCTTATATCGATAGGATTATAAGTTATAACACATACGACTCTATTGGATAATTTTAACACGTTTATGTCCAACGTTGTACTGCTTCATATTTATGCTCCTCTCCTAAAATTATTGTTTTTATCTTTAAATCAATGCTTTAAAAACCGATCCGAAGATTGAACTGGAACCTCTATGTCATGGTTTGATTGATAGAACTGGTTAAATTTTTGGTTGAACCTTGATTATATCATTGTTGAATTTGATAATGTTCAAGTCAAAAGCATTGCTAATTCAGGGTCAAACCAGATCAATTGTGGGGTTAATCAAAAACATAAAAATGCCTTAGTTTTATTACGTGAGAAAAGGCCGTGTGAATGATAAGGCCTAACACGAGACCCATTGAGTGCTACAAGTGGGGAACATAGCATGTTACACAGAACACAATTAGTGTTATTGGACCCCATTCACAACAAGAATGCTTTTGGTTCATTTTTCAGCACGCTTAATCCCCTCACCCCCCACCCTTCTAATTTTTTTTCCCATTTTGCTTTTTGTCACCATGAAGTGTCATCATCGTTCCACGCTCCAGAATCATTTCTTCTATGCCTTTTCCTTTTACAGACTAATACATTCACATGTAGATTGATAACAGTTATTTCCTGGTCATTGAATTTGATTGTGTCGCTTGCATTACTACAAGAGGCAATCTTTTTGACAAGAACAACATATGTGAGTTCTGGTAAGGAAACATCTCCAAGAAGCAGAAAAAAATAAAACGAGTACTTTTGTTTTATCCTTTTTCATTTCATTGATCTGGTGTGTACTACTACTACCCTTATCTTTGTTTTGTCATCTTCTTTTGAGACTCACATTCCATAGAAGAAAAAAGAGTAAGATTCATGATTTAACTACTTGCTTTCATTAGGAAGAAATCAAGGTTTTAATTTTGATGTTGTAGCCAAAGAATTTCATGAAAAAGGAATCAGCTTAACACATTGTTTCTGTTAAGCTTGGTTCATTTTTTTGTCTCATGGGCTCTGTAATTCCTCTGGTTTTGACGATTTTTTCTTTGGTATCATTAACATTTCTGGGATCTGATTCTCAGAGTGTCAAATCAGTTCATGTTCTTGACCTCCTCATAAGGGATCACACATTCAAGTCATTGGACAAAAACTTCAAGACAGGAACACCACAGTCAGTGAAATTACCTTCAAATTTATCTGGCATTAGAGTTGATACTGTGAGGTTTAGATGTGGTAGTCTGAGAAGGTATGGTGCAAACTTAAAGGAATTTCATCTTAGCATTGGTGTAACTGTGCATCCGTGTATTGAGAGGGTCATGTTGATTAGACAAAACATGGGGTATAATTGGTCTTCTATATATTATGCAAACTATGATCTATCTGGCTATCAACTAGTTTCTCCAATTGTTGGACTTCTAGCTTATAATGCTGATGAAGATGCAAACTCTAGCAACCCTTTTCAGCTTGGGATTGTAGCCGTTGAAAACCCCATGATAATTGATTTCACCAATACAACAAAGTTCAGCAAAGAAGAGGGAATCAAACCATTGTGTGCTAGTTTTGAAGGAGATGGGAGAATGACACTAGCAAAAGCAAACTCAACGTCACCACTTATTTGTGTTGCAAAGAGACATGGCCATTTTGGTTTGGTTATAGAGTCCTCTCCACAAGATCAGTTCAGAAAGCCCATAAGCCAGTGGAAAGTAGCAGTTGGGAGTACCATTGGTGCTGCGTTGGGTGCTTTTCTTTTAGGGTTGCTTCTTGTGGCAATGCTTGTTAGGGTGAAGAAGAAATCAAGAATGGTGGAGATGGAAAGAAGGGCATATGAAGAAGAAGCCCTTCAGGTATCAATGGTTGGACATGTGAGAGCTCCTACAGCATCTGGCACACGAACATCACCGATACTTGAACATGAGTATATACCTCATCATCCTCGTTGAAATATTTTCATTATGTTTTTGATTCTATCAATTTTGTAACATTAAGATCATATTCAATCAAATTTATCATAGGCCAAAATTAAAATTGTATTATTATTATTATTTCATTTTATTTTTGAATATATCCCCCGGTTTATCGATTACATGATATAAATGAATGGAACTAAGTGCATATAATGCAATAGGGCTTAGAGTGACACTTTGTGATATAATAAAATGTGTAACAAAAATCTAAAAAATTCTAACCCAAATACTTTGCTTCCAATCTTCAATTTGAGACCTTCAATAAGTTTTGACATCTTCAAAACACTTTAGCACATAGGAGGTCCTTCAATCTTCCCCTTTTGTATGATGACAATGTATACTTAAATTGAAATAGTGAAATGGTTAGTAACAAATGTTAGATAACATAGTAATATAATAAGGGGCAGTTTATATTTACAAATTTTTTTGTTTACAAACTCTTACAAACTACATTATGTAGGACCGGTCCTACATTAATCACACAGTGTACGACCGGTCCTACATTAATGTAATTGCAAAAAAAGTTTGTAAACGGATCCTGTCTCATATAACAATTATCAAAACTCTCAAACTCTCAAGACTCCCGCTTACAATATGCATAATATTAATTTGATATTCGTATTTTATAGACTATTATTCTAGTTCGATCACTGTTAGATCTATTATAGAAAGCGGCTCTCCAAGACCATTTTCTTCATTCACAAGACTCAAACTCCTTCCGACATTTTTTTTTCTTACACTTAGTTAAAATGCTAGGGTTCGCAACCTTTTCTTCAATTATACTCATAATCAAAGAGAATTGGGTAAGTGACTCTATAAGTGTGTTGTTATTGATTGTCTTGCACTAATTTTGACATTGTTGAGAAATCTTTGATCAACATGTATTCAATCGACTAGTTTTAGTTTTTAGAAGATTGCAGCTTTTTGTCACATAAATGTGTCAGAAATAATTATAAATCAGAGTTGCTTGAAGCCACGGACATGAACAATTATGTTGTTTGAGAGTCAAAGGAAGCTAATCTATAAAGCCTCCTATGGTAGACAGCGTAATGATTTCTTATAGAAAAAGTCTCCAATACAGTTTGACGTACCATTGAGTAACAAATGCATTTGACTATGTGATTACAACGGGGGATCAAAATATAGAAATCGTTTTTAATTTATCTTACTAAGTAGAAAACAGAAGATAGATTGCTCGGATTATGAACCAATTGTGGTAAATTTTTCATGAAAGGCAAAATTTTGATATATCAATAAAAGATTTCAGAGACTAACGGGAAATTCTATATATTTTTTTTTTTTTTTGGAAATTCTATAATTTTGAATCACAAGAATTGGTTTAGCAGACTAGGGAAAAAAAATCAAAGTGCAACTTTTAAGTCCTGCTCCCGTCAGTCGCGGAACTGCACATTTGTTCCGATAGCGACAAGGGACCAAAAATCAAAGTGTTACCCTGAGGCAAAATATATACCAATATGTGATACACAGGAAGTTTTTTTATTCAGTCATGTTTAACTCCCGTTGATGGGGATTGCTTTATGGAAAAGTGAGAGAGTCTCGTTGGCAAAGTTTGCGTGACTGGGCCCAAAGTCAGTTGATGGCTAGGTCCTTACTAATGAAGTGGGAAGGTTTGAATACCGGAGGCACACCCATTTGGGAAGAACTTTACCCGAAACAAAATTCAGGTCCAGAGGGGTTGCACACTTTATATAATGACCAAAATATATAATTGTGGATTTAATTATTGATTAAAGAATTTATGATAAATATTGAAGAGTAATTAGATGGGAAATCTAATTAAAATGAATTAAAGCCATTATGTGAAAACAAGTTAAAAATGACAATTAAGGGATAAAAATCAGGATAGGTAAAGTTACCCAGAAGTTAAAAATAAAAATAGTGAATATTATCGTAAAAATATTATAAATCAATGTGTTGAAAAGAAAAGATGGCTAAACAACCATACAAGAGGGTGGTGAATTGTGCGTTACTTGAAATTTAAGAAACAATTCACAAATTAACTTTTTAACATACAACTTCAACCAAAACAAAATTTATTGATTATAAACCTTTTTCCCAATATAAAACAGAATTAAAATAATTCTTAATAATATGAATTCAGAAGCAATATGCAGCGGATCAATTTTGAAAGGAAAAATAGAGTAATTTCAATGTTTATGCCTACCCTTTTCAAGAATTCATACAAGAACGAAATAAAACAGAAAAGTAATGATTATAATCCTTAAAACAGATTCAATATGACATATATCAAGAATCAAAACGAAATTCAATTGATAGAAATCAAAAGAGATAGGGTAAGAAAGAATCACACCGGAGTTTATCCTGGTTCACTCTCTAAACCACTTGAGAGCTTCGTCCAGACTGAGGTCGATCGTTTTCATTTTCATCAAGCTTCCAACAGGTGCTTGAAGAAACTTTTTTACAACTGGAATTTTACAAGTCTATGATCACACCTTGATCACACTTAACACCTAAGCCTTTAGGGTTACTCCAATTGTCTTTCCAACAATTACAACAATTCACTCTTGCTAAATAGATGTAGAGTCGCCTCTCTATGTTCAAACAAAAAAGAAAATACAAAAATATATCGAGAGATGAGAGAGTAGTTGAGATTTTTCTCAAGGATGTGCAAAAGTAAGCCAATATGGGTTCAATTATGAGTTTTCTTTGATTCTAAGTTTTTCAGTGTTAATTCTTGTGTTCAGAACCTTAATGATATGTATTTATAGGTGCCCAGAGAGTTATTAGTCGTTTATAGCCATTGGCAATCAAAAAATTTGAATTTCTTCAAGTTTAAGTCACTAATAACAGAAAGTATTCGATTACTTTTCAGGGAGTATTCAAATGCTTCTTCAATCTCAGAAAGTATTCGATTACTGTTCATCAAGTATTCAGTTATTTTTCTACCCAGAAAAGTATTCGATTACTTTTATGCAGAAATCAGTTTTCATGATGGTTTTTGAATTTTATTGCATCCTAATGATTGTCAGTGACTTCTAAATGATTCCAAGTGACTTCTAACATATGTATGATCATGTTTCACACTTGCATAACAACTCTTAATGTGTGTGAACATTGTATGCATGATCAAAGTGAATATGTGTCACCTATATGAGTTTATGGTTTATTTTTGCACTTCCTAAGATAAAACTCATTAAGCTCAATCCATAAAAGTTCGAAGACTCTTAATGTACTATATAACTAATAAATGCTTGAGTCTTCATTGTCTCTCTTCTTCTTCTTCATAGTTTGAGTCTTCTAATACTCCTTTTAGCTTGAAATCTTTGACTTGAGCTTTGACTTTGTATATTTGAGTCTTTTCTTTATGTTTGCACTTTGTTATAGGCTTCTTGTGTCATTTAGAACTTGTTGCCATGCCTTTCATTAAGAGCTTTCATGTTGAGCTATGTTAGTACTTGTTGGTGCTTTGTATAACACCTCACACTTATAAATCATGTATTAATATATTAAAAGAGAATTAAAGGAATGGATTAGTGAAAATCCTGGAAATTAGGCTAAAAGACAAAGAAAGGGTAAAACGGTAAATAGTCAAACACACAACCCTAGGAAGGTAAAATTGAGTAGAAGGTCTCAAATGATGAAATTAACCCTGGAAATGGATTCAGAATGGAAAATTGAGTGGATAAGCAAGTTTTAGAAAATTCAGTGAATAGTATTTTTACTGGGTAAAAATACCGCGGTACGATTACACGGTAAAGCATGCCGATTGAATTTTGAGCTCTAGGTTTTGAAAACAAGTTATAAATGGTATATAGGACTAGGAAATATGATTTCTGATAAAAATTGAGGGAAATTAGTAAGTTTGGGGGAAGCGTGCCTACGGCGCGCGTAACAGCTTAAAACAACATTTTCTCCGAACGACCGAAATCTCCGGATTCATCTGATCAAGAATAATTAAAGGACAATGATTAATGTTAAAAATTAGAGTTTCTAAATAGGTTGTGAATTTATGGACGTTTAGTGGAATCGGAGGGAAATTCAAGTTAGTTTGAAATCGCGTGAGGTGGCAGTGGGGCCCACCTCACTTAAACCACTTAAGACACCTAAGCACATGTCCTATTCATCATCACTCTCTTTCCCTTCTCCCTTCAAAAACCGTGACAGCCCCCCCCCCCTTTGTCCATTTGTGTTTTGATTTCTTCCTTCCATAACTTCATCAAATCTTAACCGAATCGAGTGCTTTTTGTCTTGAAATTCGATGGAGACCACCACCTGAACCCATTCCACCAATTAGTTTCCCTTGAAACCCTCTCTATTGTAAGAAAAGAGGCAAATACAGCCACGAATTTGGGGAGAAAAATTGGGTTTTGTTGTTGTTCCTCAAGCTTTGCTTAGGGATCAATTGAAGGAACCTTTGTTATGTATTTATGGGTATGTTTCAACACTTTTAATGGTTGGATTGAATGATTTATTTTCATGAACCCTAAAGGGGATTTGGATGATTTGTGTTGTTAGAGAGCTCAAATGGAAAATGCGTATTAGATGATTATGTCTTAGAATGATGTGTTAGAGCTAAAAATGCAATAAAAATTATTGGTCAAAATGTGATTTTAACTTAGGAAATTTTGGATGATGCCATGACTTTGTGTTTTGGAATTGTGTTAGGATTGTGTTGGTGAGTTGTTGTATGGTTGTATGATGTTATAATAGGTTTGTATGAGGTGTGGAATAGTTGAATTGGATTGAAAATCCTTTGAGGTGTGCCTATATATGTACATTTCGACCTAGAGAGGAAAATAGAGGAATTGATGTTGCAAAAATTGTTTGGATGATGTGTTGTGTATTGTAGGGTAATTAGAAGGGTTGTGTGATGGTTGGAAGGTTGGAGAATCAATGGAAAAATATTGGATAGTGTGAAATTGTGGAATTGGACCAAGAGCAAATTATTAGGAAAAATGATGTTTGAATGATGTAGGATGCAAATTGGCACCTAA